CCTGTATAATCCTGTTCTGGCAGTCGATCTCCTTGATTAGCGCCAAATACTCGTGATACATTCGTCTCTGCTCCGGATCATCCGAAGACTCGCCCAGGCGTGAGAATAAGTCATCTTCAATGCCCTCCTCCATGCCACCCTCATCCATGGCTGCCATGCCATCGTCCTCATCGAACTCCTGCTCTTCCGCGGCTCCCTCATTGTCAGCCATTTTGTTGGATAATTAATTACTCTAAGTAAGCAAAATGATGTTGCCCCTTTGTCTCTCGTGTGGTAACGTTCAATGGTTCCAAGATGGTTTCTTTTTTATATAAGCTCCAATCACTCGTAATTTTAAAGCATAATCTTAAAATTTTGGTAATATATTCTGGAATTGATTACTATAAAATTTTAAGGGTGTTGTGTTGTTTTTTTAAACAACTAAAATGAACTGAACAATGTTTGTATGGATTTTCACGCTTCGAAAAATATGTGCCCAGGCCTGCTTTGATGGGTCCTATGATCGAAATTCAAGTTCGCATCGAGACTTCTACAAATCATCACAATCAGAGTAATCAATATTTTTGGGAGTCAAATTGAAGCTATTGGTATATATTTTTAAGCAAACAAGTCATAAACGGCATAGGAATATATAAAATATATATTTAAAAATATTTTTTCTATTTTCTCTCGTATAGTTCTACAACGAAAGACTTTATACACATGTTTATTCATTATGTTTATTTATTATGTTATTAATTATGCATGCTAAAACTGAAAGAATTGATGTTTACTCGAATTCTTTTGCATCCACAAATATGCAGTGTTTAATTTTCAGATTCCTAGAATAGTGTTGGCCTCTAGCCATTATTATTCTTATTAGTTTTAGCAAACTGAAATCAAAGAAATAAGGATTTATAGATTATGATCTATATGAAAATTATGTTTCGGATCATATGTCAGCGATCTAAGCTCAAATGACACAGATCATAGATCATTGATCATGGTTATATATCGTAGATCGTGAATCAATAATCATATATCTAATATAATGTAATTAATAGATATAGAAATATAAATATATAAATCATAGATTATGGATATACATATATATAGCATAGACTAAAGATCAATGATCATGCAACAATGTTTATAAATCACAGATCTTTTATTCATATATCATGGCTAAAACATCACAATCCATGAATCACGGATCTCTGGATTGATAGTAAATACTGCATTATCCTTATAAAACTTGATATCTTTATAGACGAAGATATATAAACTTGTTTGGTGTTAAATAGGTATTTTAGTATCTTTATAGACGAAGATATATAAACTTGTTTAGTGTTAAATAGAGATAATGTCGCATTCCACCTTTGCTATATTTAATTCACTTGAGGAATTGCTGGAGAATCACCTGAATCGTGAGAATCATCTGAATCACCTAACAAGTCGCTTCCTTCGAGTAGTATATGATTATAAATGAATATTATATTATTTTTAGAAAAATATACGAAATTGCTAAAATTTTGGAAACATCCTTTAAAAAATCTCTAGTTTAGTAGGCATTTATAAAGAAAAGAAAAAAAATTATTGATAATAATTTGATATTGTTCCATGTTGAACTACTAATTATTTTTGGTAAATAAATGTGAGATTCCTTTTAAAATTTATCTGTTGGTAAAAAGACAGGACAAAAATTACGGAAGTGTATAGAGAAACCGGCTGAACACAAAATTATTGTAAATGTTAATTCCGGTCAGCTACAAAGCTAATAACGAACCGGCGACCAGAGGAGTCTCCCCCGTCGGGCAAGAGCAGGCCGAGTCGATGGGGAAGCAACCGGAGGGGGACAACACAAACGGCAAGGCTCTGAAGCAGACCAGTTACATAAGTCTACACAACAAAAATCTGTCGTCGAGCGATGCCAACAACAACAACAGCAACAGTAACAACAGCAACAACAACGACTGTGTGGACGAGGACGAGGCGCTCAGCGACGGCGATCAGTTCGGCTTGGTGGACGACGAGGAGGACGATGAGGAAGAGCAGCGGTCGTGTACGCCGAAGAGACGAAGCGTGCCGCAAGGCGATGAGATGGGGGCCAAGTTGAAGCACGAGCTAACCAAGTACAAGCAGGAGCTTAAGGAGTACAATGAGACGACCAAGGACCTGGAGAAGAAGTACATGAAGATCAACTTCGAGCTGAGCGAAATGCAGCAGAAGCACGGCCAGTTTGTATCCCGACGCTGCCCGAGTCCGGAGATGGAGCTGCCAAGCGAAACGGATGGGGATGGGGATGGAGGCCTGTTAGACAGCTRTTGCCCATCCTCCACGAGCATGGACTCCGATCTGACGGTCACGGGCCGCCACGGCAAGAACGTCTTCTGCAGCAACAGCAGCTTCATGACGGTGCTGGCTGTGCCCAACTCCTCCGACACGATGCAGGCGGCGCCAACGTCGCTGGGCAAGCGCAAGGATCATCGGCATCAGTCGAAGCTGAGGAGTCAGCCAGCTGGCTATGGCCAGCAAGTGTTGGGGCGTGGCCATGCACGCCGGGCCCTGCGCACATCAGCGGGGGAGCAGGAGAACGACCCATCGTTCAAGGAAATGTACCATGTGCTCAAGGACGTGATCAATACGCAGCAGGATCACAAGAAGAATTATGGCTACGATCTGGACAGCGGCGAGTTCAGTCAGCTGTACAGCACGATTAAGGACCTCAAGAACGAGCAGGTGCAGTTCCGCAACATCATACGGCACCAGCAGGAGCGGATCAGCGACTACCACACGCGCTGCGTGAAGGCCCAGGAGATCATGAAGACGCAGAAGCATGAGATCGACAAGCTGCACGTGAACAACCAGCAGCTGGAGTCGAGCATCTACCACGACATCGACACGCTGCGCTCCAAGATCGACAGCAAGCTGAAGAGCGTCGCCCAGCTGCCGATGCTGATGCGCGAGGAGCACACCAAGTATGAGAATGTGCTGCGCGAGAACTGCGTGATGGCCGAGAAGCTGCACTCGCTGCAGAAGGAGGCCGCTCAGCTGAAGAGCAAGATCGACGACCTGGGCAAGCGCAAGCTGATCACCGTCAATCGCTTGAAGGCGGCCGAGCGCGATCTCAAGATCTTCAAGAACTACAATGCGGCGCTCAAGACGGAGAAGCGACGACTCGCCGAGGAGCTGACCACAACCAAGCTGCAGCTGGACACGCTGCAGGCGGCGGGCAAGCGCCAGCTGTCGCGGCATCGCGAGCAAACGGAGAAGCAGCGTCGCGAGCTACAGAAGCGCATCTACGATCTGGAGCTGAAGCTCAGCCGCAGCCAGAACTCGACGTCGAGCCTGATCCAAGAGCGCGACAGCCTCATCGCCGAGCTGCAGACGCAGCTGCACACGCTCGTCCACAACTTCGAGGTCTCGCAGAAGCACATCCGAGTGCTCCGCCGGCACATCTACACCATGACCTCGGGCGGCACGACAGGCGGCCTCGCCAGCAGCTCGCTCACTGTTCCGCTCGGTGGTGCCACTCCCCAACGCTCCACCGCCACCAGCGAGCAGGGCATGACGCGAGCTGCCACCCAGAGCCAGCCATCCAGCCCTGGCGCCACACGACTTGGCACTCCGCGCACACTGAAGGCCAGAGCCTAGCCTCAGGTCAGCTCTCTGGTCTAGCGGCCCAAGCAACTTGAGGAGATGGCCAGGAGCAGCCGTGACTCATCTGCATATAGATCACCGTCTCCTGGGCCATATCATCAAGCTGCTTGCCCCCCGCTACTCCAGTGGACGACAATGGCCGCTGTGCCCGCTCGCCCTGCGCAAATTTTAATTGTATTGTTTTCCCGTAGTTTTTAAGGAAATTTTCGTGTATAAATTGTGTGGAAATTCACCGTTTTAAGTTTACTCTATGTAGCCTAATTAGACTTTGGCAGGTGAGTTCAGCCATGAATTTGCCTAAGGATTCAGGATTTTATTAAATAATTAGCTTTGATTATTATGGAAATTCAAGTTGTGCAGTAAATTTAAATTTTTATATTAATCAAAAATAGTTATTTAAAATTATCTTATAAATAAAAATTAAAAGTATATTAAAGTTATTAAAATTATATATTGTAATTTTTGTATGAGTCGAACGATTTGTGAAAGAACTTAAATATTTTTTTCTTCATTCTCAAGCCTTTTTTATAGTGAGGCTCTTCAAGTGGATTTCTCTCTGAATTATCATATGGTATTTTATATTGATGACTTAACACCATTGAGTCTAAATTATTTTACATATATTATACAATATTGTACATCTGCTTAGCAGTCGCATTATATTCAATACTTAATAATGCCCTATAGCCTATTGCTACGATTTATTATGTTCCCATTAAAAAATATTGATACAATTGAGGGTCAGAGCTCTCACTCGTTTGCTCTCATCTCAAGACTGTCCTTCGCAATAGATTTCCAAGGGTTCTTGCTGATCTCATGGCAGCTGAAAAGTGCCCACGATTAGTAATTATTCGATTCTAAAAACAAAATGAGTGTATTCAAAAGAAAGAATTGTGTGTAAACAGTTCGAGTCGAATGCGAATGCTCGCTACACAGCTGATGCGATTGTACAGATATTCATATATACATATGACTATATATACTACATGTATCTATAGTTGATGCTGATATATATAGATATACGGCATGGATAAACATATTCCACAGCCACTTTGGAGGCATGCTGCTGAGTGGGCTCTGTGCGAAAAGTGTTTGCTGCTTCCGCTGGCTGGGCGGGAGGCGTGGCGCTGCGTGAAGGGGGTACGGGCATAGAGCTGACAGCTGTGTAGAAGAGCTCTCGTGTGTGGAGAGCAAAGAGCAGAGCGACACAAAATAGCTAAATTTATAACAAAAACTGAAACTGAAACAAAATGAGAAACTCATGTTTTCAATATTCGAGCGAACGGCGGGGGGCTGGCGCTGACCTGGCGAGAGCCAAAGGTGCGACGCCAAAGCTAAAGCTTTTCCGCTTTTCCACTTTTCCACAGTTGAGTTTTTGCACGCGACGGGAGCGGCTGCTGTTCGACAAAGATGCGACACGCTTCGCTGCTCAAGTGGAATGCCAACGAGCCGATGACGCACTGCAGCACCGCCTCGACAGGCAGCTACGCATCGTCGCTGCCTCTGCCTCTGCCTCTGCTGCTGCTGTTCATGTTGCCGCTGCCAGCTGTTGTGGTTGGAGCTGAGAGCTCCTGCCTCATACGGGCCACGCTCTATGTAACGCCGCCGGAGCAGCGCAGCGTGCAGGATTTTGGTCTGCCACTGGACATTGACTGCGCTGGGAATGGCAGCGCCACTGGTGGAGCCGTATTTGATCTGGGCGCGCAGCGTGTGGCTGGCAAACTGCATGTGCGCCTCAATGGCAGCCAAACGCCGCCGCTGGCCGACGTGGTCGGCTATGGCCTGGCCTATCTTCACAATTGTGCGCAGCTGGAGAGCGTTGAGATCGAGCGCTTTGTGCTGGAAGCTAGCCTGCCCTTAAGCTGCGGAACGGAACAGGAGGAGGAGCAGGAGCAGGAGCTGGAACGACTGCGTGTTGTTGCCCTGCGCCACAATGAGCTGGGCACGCTCAGTGGCAACAGCTTCGCATTGCTGCCGCACCTGCAGCAACTGTTGCTGGAGGACAACTCGCTACGGCTGCTCGAGCCGCTCGAGGGATGTCGAGAGCTGCAGGAGTTGAGCATACGACGCGAGCGTCAGCTGGCGCTGCGGCAAGCGGAGCTACTGGAGCAGCTGGAGCAACTGCAGCGCCTGGAGCTGACACAGCTGAAGCTGGTGAGGCGTGAGTTCCTGGAGGCGCTGCCTGGTCAGCTGACCGAACTGCTGGTGCAGCAGACGCTGGTCGAACCCCGACATCTTCGCCTCGGCAATGGCACGGAGCAGCTGCTCCGCCTCAGCCTGGTCGAGTGTGAGCTGAGCAGCTTCGCACTTGATGCCTCCATAGGCTCCAAGCTGCAGCAGCTCAACTTGAGTGGAAATGCGCTGAGAGAGCTGCAGTTGTCGAACAGCTCGCTCATCAGCCTCGATCTCAGCGCGAATCACCTGCGGAGCTTGAACAGCACTTGGTTTGCCCAGCTCCAGCATTTGCAGACTCTGCAGCTGCAGCGGAATCAGCTGCATAGCCTTTCGTGGCCGCAGGTGCTGCAGCTAGCTCCTGGGAGTCTAACCCGGCTAGACCTGAGCTCCAATGAGCTGGTGCGCCTGGAGCAGACAGAGCACGCGGCCTGGGAGCAGGTGCAGCAACTGCACATACACATCGACGATAATCCGTGGAGCTGCCAGTGGCTGCTCAACTTCTCGCATGACCAGCCGCAGCTGTTTCGCCTGTTCCGCTATGCCAAGTACATATCCCTCATCAACGTGAATGGGCTGAGCTGCAAGCCGCAGCTGGAGAAGGAGAAGGAGAAGGGGAAGGAGGCAGTGGAGCCAAGCACTCCACGGAACAAAACTGAGGGCAACTGGTCCGTTAGCCACGGCCAGTTGAATGTCTCCAGTCACACGGTGCTCTACGGCAATCCCTTGCAGCAGTCGCACAGCCAACGCTCGGAGGCACTCGTCATAGTCTTCATGCTGCCGCTGGGCATTGCGCTGCTCTTCCTGCTCCTGTACCTCTATCTGCACTGCGAGCGCATGTTCCATTGGTCATACTACTCCGGCGGACTGTCCTGCTTCGGCGGCGGCAAGGCCTCGAGCAACCATCGCTTCGTGGATCACATCGACATCGTGCGCTATCCCATCGCCAATGGCAGCAGCAGCGCCAACGTGGCCGAGGACCTGGACCAGCCCATAGCTCTGGCTGATGGCTATGAGACGCCAGTGAGCGGCTCCGCCTCCATTTGCAACTGCGCTGGCCCACGGCAATCCCACGGCAGTTGCTCGCGCACCCATCACGTCACCTACGAGGCCATGCCCACAGATCTGCCCTATCAGCTCTACACGGAGATCAAGGAGCCGACGGACACCAACGAGGCGGATGAAGCTCCTGTTGAACTGCCTGCGGCCTCAGCGCCCATCTACGAGCACTTGGGTTTCGAGGAGGAGCAGCCAATGGAGGTCTAGCTATCATCGTGTTTCATGAAGTAAGCAAAAGAAAGGCGATTCTTGTGCTGCTGTAGATCGTCTCTCAGTGCTATCAGCACAATATTGTCGTCTGTTTGCTGTGCTACATGATCTAATCGTACATGATTCAGAGCTCCAATTAATAATCAGAGATTACGTACCCTTTAAGCTGTCAAAATGGGTAATATGAATTCTTGGGAGTCTATGTAAGAGAAGATGGGGAATTGTAGTTACAAATTATATTATATATTCTTATATCGCAATCCATTTCTTAAATATAATTAATTTAGTTACTTGACCTGAGCTGATCTTACAAATTTCTGACTCGATTACTATTGAGCGTAAATTTAGATAAAATAAATAACTACAGTAACTCAAAATTAGGAGCTGGAGATACTAGCTGCCTAGCAGCAAAATTTATAATTCAACTTGAAATATCAGATATAGTTCAAGTATTTGTGAGATCATTTATAAACAGGACATATAGTTCTATAGATCTACATCCGTATTAAAACAAACTTCGATATGTGACAAATACATTTTAAAATTTTTATTTTATAGTTTAAGCTAGTTATAGAATAACATGAGAAAAGCTATTGATTTATATCATGCTCTTTAGTAATAGTTAATTTCTTGAATTGGATCATCATAATGCAGTTCCCCCTATAGCCTACTTGTACATAAACGATTATCATTTGCATAAATCTAAACACTTCAAATTCAAGATGTTCGACAGTAGCCCTGGGACTGCGTCTGATCCCGAGCAATACAATTTAAATAGATATTTTATATTCTATATTCTATATGCATAGACAATATTTGCATTTGAGCTTTAGCTTATACAGAAATTTCTCTTTAAACTTTTCATAAATCTAATTTATATCATTCCAGGCTTACATATGTATTTCCCATCTTGATGGCTGATGCACTAAGTGTCCATATGTGGGCCTTGGATCGGCAAGAACTATTAAGTTTGTACGTCTCGTTGTTGTTTGCTGTGTAATTTATTGCCTAAGTCTTAATTTTAATTAAACACTTTATTTGTAAATATGCATTTGGTGTGCAGCTTAAGAGCTCGCTGGCTTCTTGGATGGCACAACAATGCGTCGTATGATGCCCTGTGATTTTTTGACCGGCTTTACATCCTGGCTGAGTGCGTTCTCCTTGCCGCAGGGCGGTGGACTGCACACATCAGGGCTCAGATTGTGCACGATGGGCGCACTGCTGCTGAACTGGACATTCTTTTGGTTATCCTCGGCAAACAGATCGCGCTTCTTTGTTAGTATGGAGCGCACTGCACCGTGGCCAGCGGCTTCAGTGTCCATGGCACTGGCTTTGACTCTGACTGGCGTTCCTTTGCGCAAGGGCTTCGCTTCACAAATTTCATGAAATTCGAGTGGCTCTTGCTTGGTCTTAACTGGCGTACCCTTGCGCTGTGGCTTGGCTGGAGTAGGTGCTTGGTCCTGCTCTTCATCATCATCGATTTTTGCTTTCATCTGACGTAATTGGATGGGCGTGCCCTTGCGCTGAGGCTTGGCAGGCAGAGAAGGAAGCTCAGCACGGGCCCCATCTGATTCCATTTCAGGTGACATTAACTGTTGCTCGCTTTTCACGCGAATGTGTGCAACGGGAGGAGTGCTAATTAACGGAGATGACGCGCTCAGCGGCTCGATGACATCAGTTTGCTCTGGCTCCGTTTTGCATTCGATCTGCTCCAGCTGTTGCTCTTGAGCCGAGTTTTCCGTGGACGGCTGCTCAATCAGCTCACGCTTCACTTTAATTGGACAAGAGAGCTGTGCATATTTAATAGCAGGACGAGGGACCGCTTCTGGCTCAGCCTTAAGCGGAGTGTCCAAGAGAATAACATCAGTTTGCACATTGACGCAAACTGCGGGCGGCTTCAGCAGCGTATCCACTACAATAAACTCAGCTTTTGTCGTCACATTGGCTGGGGCGGCGGGGACGCTGGCTATGCGTGGCAAGGCAGCTTTTATTTCAGCTTCCTTGATATCGAACTCCATGGCTTTCATGGGCTTAAAGGCAATCTTGTGCTCCATCAGCAGATTCTCGCGATCGATCAACACGCAGCGGGACTTCAGCGATTCAAAGCGCCAACTAAACCAAAATAATTGAGTTAAAAGAGCTCATGAGGTGAACGGTTTGCACCCACCGTGCCATGTCCTGTTGCATGTTGCGCAACTGTTCCTCGAGCGTGGCATTTTGGATGTGCATGCTGTGCAGTTGGGTCTTCAGCTCGTCCGTTTCGCGTCTAAATGGAATGGGAATGTTGTGAACTAAATCTAAACGCAGCCTAACCTAATAACGGCCTATCACAATAAAAACAATCTGTAGCTGGTAAAGCTGAGCAAATGATTGCACAGCTTTGCTACAGCATGGCCCAAGCGTTCGGCCAACTCATACTTGCAGAAATCCAGCATGGAATCAAGCCAAGTCACCGATTTCTGTCTGGCCAATTCGCGCAGGCGCTCTTGCGTCACATTCAAATTGTGCTCCAGTTTGGCATTTTGCTGCAACAGCTTGCGAATGCGCTCATTGAGTTTATCTGCACAGAGTGAATCAGAATCAGTTAAGACAGTCTTATACTCGAGTTCTCCAAGCTTACTCTGATAGGTTTTGTCGGCGCTGCAGAAGATTGTGCTGCATGCTTGGAGCTCAGTGTGCATGGCTGCGTTCTCCCGCTTGAGTCGGTGTATTTCGAATTTGCTCTCATTGAATATCTTCTTCATGTCCAGGTAGCTCTTCTTTTGGCTGGCCAGCAAGTGCTTCATCACCTGCCGCTGATCGTCCACCTCTGCAAATAGTGAGTTGCCTTTGCGATCTGCAAGCATTTTAAATTTTAAAAAAGATTTCAGCGATCTCCGCTCGCCTACTCAACCATTGTGTTCCGGGGCACTGCTGAGCATCGCTATTTTGGCATTGGCATCCACCAGCTGCTCCTGTGTGCTCTCCAGCACCTGCAACTTCTCCTCGAGTTCATCTCGTTTGCTACGCAGATTTTGCTCCAGGCAATCGATTTGATCTTTTAACATCTCAATTGTTTTCTGAGAGGACAATGAGATTGTAACAACAGGATGATATAATCTATTTACTCACCTCCTGCTCGGCTATAGCAAAGGTATTTTTCACTTTAATCTCCTCATATTCGGCCAATTTATGCATGAGCTCTGCATTCTCCAGCTCCATTGCATTAAAACGTGATGTGATTTCATCGTCTACACTGTTGGCTTTCACCAAGGCAAACGATTCCAGATCGCGCACTGCGCTCTCGAGCTTCGCCTTGAGGCTGACCACATCCTCGACCTTGGCATCGTAGTCCTGCTGCAAGGTTTCATGCTCTAGCTGCAGGTTCTTGTATTTGCGACGCAGCTCCTCCAATTCTTGCTGCACACGTGGCTCTGGCGTAGGACCTGACGCTTGTGTTTGGGCACTTAGATGCTCTAGCTCCTGGGTTAAATATCGTTCCGCCGCCAAGGATGTGTCTAGGCTGCGTTTTAGCTCGTGTAGGCGTTGGGCATCCTCCTCGCTGCGCTCCTTAAGTCGTTCATGGCGCTCATGCAGTAATTTGTACTCTTCAACTATGTCTTCTATGGTTAAAGCATTTAAATCTAAGTTATTATACATTTTCCAGCCGTTTTTTTCTCTAAGGCGTCAACAATTTGAATCAATTGTGTAAAAGCGACGCTCAAATAGCGCTGCTATGCAATATATATCGATATTATTATGCGATGTACCGATTAGTGGCGATGTGAGAAGACTGAGCAGACAGCAAGAAGAATGCCGTAATATCAATTAAAATATATTTATGCAAAATATTTATTTTATTTTTATATATGTTTACATAATCTTTTAAAAAAATGCAGAGGGAATATGCCATTCCTATCATAGACAAGTCTACAGCATGACAGCATGTCAACTTGTCCTTGTGAATGGCAACTGTTTACTAGCGCCATCTGTTGAGTATTTGTTGTGCGCCAAATCAAATTTTGTTTTAACTTTTGTATATGTATAATCAAATGCAAAATCATTTTTGCAAAATTATAAGGGTGGTTTTAAACAGTATATTAAAGCATTATTACTATTATATATAAATATAAAAAATAATACTTAATTAGCGCAAATTTGGCTTTTCACTGGTCATCTGGTTTCCATGGAAATTAGCAAACCCAAACAAACATTTTTAATTTTTTCAGTCTTGAAAAAGAGTTTCGATAAAATGCAGGAAGATGCCGCTGATAAAACGCAGCAATTGCAAAATTTTCAATCCGACGATTTGCTGGAGAAGCTGAAGCTGCTCAACTATGAGAAGCATCTGCTGAGAGAATATAAATTAAAGCCGCTTTCGCGGTTTTATTTCGTGAAGGCAACAAATCCCGGCGAGCAATTCTTCATGTTCACGCTGATCTGCTGGTGGTTGTGCAGAAAGCTGGGTAAGGAAATGGAGCGGCCACAGGAATACGATGATCCCAATACGGTTATAGCAAAGATAATGCAAATACTGGAGGAAATCGTAAGTTCGTTTAGCTAAATGAAAATTTGAAAATTGAAATTGAAGCAGTTGAGGCTCCGCAGGACGTCCCAGTGGATTTTACTCCCAATAAGCTAATACGGGGCGCTGGACCCATCTGCCTCATGGTACTGGACGTGCTGGCCACGCAGGCGCTGAAGGTGACGCAAGTGAATTATCAACGCCTGCACATCGCCCAGGAGGAGGAGTTCGTGGGCGACTATTTGGAGGACAACGCGGAGATCATATTGGAGAAGTTGGAGGATGAGCAGAATGCGGGCGCCCTCAGCGACGACAGCGATCTCGAGCTGGAGGCGCACAATTTCAAGCAGCTCAACTGGCTCAATCGCCAGAAGCGCTCAATGGGCGAACTGCCAGCAGGCACGACGGACGAGCTGAACGCTCGGCTCAGCGATCAACAGGAGTGGCGCCTGGAGCTGGAGCGCGTGTTGCCGCAGCTGAAGGTGTTCGTCAAGGCCGATGCCCGCGACTGGCGCACTCACATCAGCCAAATGGAGACGCTCAACACGAGCATCGCCAACGTAGCCGAGACGACGCAGGCGCAGCTCAAGAAACTCCACAGCGAGTTCACCTTCAGCCTGGAGAAGATCGAGAGCCGGGAGAAGCACTTGAACAACGAGTTCCAGCAGCTCATCCAGCAGTACAAGGAGCTCTCCATTGAGCTATCCACCGTGCAGTACGCTCAGACGCAGCTCCAGGACGAGTCCGAGAAGCAGATGAATCAGCTCAGCGAGGTGATGGCCGAGCAGGAGCTGAAGAAGCAGGAAATGGAACGACGCGGACAAGTCATGTCCGATGGCAGTGAGTATGCCACGATGTGGCTTATGTTTGGAGCTGTTCAAATGCGAGTGGAAGTTAGACGAGTTACGAGAGAGTTTGACTAGTCCGATCGATTCTGCTGCAATTGATTTCTTTTATATTGTTAACTTTTTTAATTCAATCATTTTATTGTCCCTCTTCATTTCATTCATTGTTAAAATATTCAACTGTTGGAAATGGAATATTTGTTTGTGCCATTTACATTTATTTATTATTATTATTAGCAATAAATCTTTTACTTTTATTAATTAT